AATGATAATTATTTAATTATATATGTTATAACTAATTGTTATTATTTAATTATTTAATTATTTACCTAGATGACCAAGTTTGAAATTAACTTCTTCAATTTTTCAAATTTTCAATTTTACATGTGAAAATGTAGTTATACGTAGAGGTTGCCAAATCATCCATATGGCATTGGTTTTTTTACATGTAATTCTTTGAATTTCAAAAATATAAATTTATGGCATGTTAACATGCTAGTTGGGTACTTCTGTTGATGAAAGGACCAAGTCAGCAATGAAAAAATAAAGTTTAAGGATAAATTTGATAATTTTATAGTTAGAATTATCACCGACATGAATTATGTTGGTAAATCTCACTCTAATTACCATATTACCCATATTGCTAATTATTAGTTAGGAATAGGGTGGATGTCAGTCTATCTGAAAATTTTAACAACATGGTTTTTGTTACTAAAATTCACTTTCAGCAACAAGAACCATGTTGCTGAAAAATGAAGATCACTGTTAAGTATTAGCAACATAGGTGTTGTCGGTGAAAATCTACACCATAAATTGCCAGTCAATCAACGGGGGCATGGGCAATCGGAAAATTTTAGCAACATGGTGCTTGTTGCTGAAATACACTTTCAGCAACAAGAACCATGTTGCTGAAAGTGAAGAACACTTTTTGGGGGAGTAAGTACTATTTAAGTATCAGCAACATGGGTTTCGTCGGTGAAAATTTGTATTACCGACGTGCAATTCTATGTTGCTAATACTTAGTTGCTGAAAAAGAAGATTTTAGTAGTGCCTGATTCCAATGATCTTCATCAATTTCAAGCTTGTCGGGTTTCAACCTCTTCACTTCCATTCCTAAGTTCAGTTCGCCGACCAATTTATTCTTCGTTACGGTAAGTTCTTGATCCTTTTTATCGAATTATGTTATTCCACATTTGTGTAATTTTTTTCTCTGATTTTCATTGGAATTTCTCTTGGAAAGGTGATTAAAAAAACGAAAAATGCCTCATTGATTAAAAGATCAATCTTTTTGAATCCATCCTGTTAGCACAATTTAGCTCTGTGGATGGAAAGTAGCTTTATGTAGAAAGCATGAAATCTAGACTAAAAATAATCTTGTTAACTTAAAAAATGCAGGGGGCTTACATTTTTATTGTCATTGGAGCTACAAGAATGAATATTTTATGTCAACAGCTTTTTTTTTTTTTTTTCAATGAATTATTTGTGTTAGCATGTTGAATTTCTATTTCAGGAGATGTTATTCTGCCGCTTATCTGTTGGAGGTCCAGCCTGCTCTTCGAATAAAACAAACCTCGAATCTGTCTGGTTCGAGATGGTTGAAGGACTTTGCATGCAGTTAGTGTTTGGTGAGGCTTCAATGGCACCTACCATATGAATAAAAATAATATTTTTTTAATAAATGTATTATACAGAATGTCAAATCAAATATATATTAATTGTTATCCTTTAAAAAATAGTCATCTTCTCTCTATATTTCAATCTTGCTTTAAAATTATAATTTAAAGAATCTAACATAAAAATTTAAACTCTTAATTATTAAAATATCTAATAGATATTTGATAAAGATAAGAGTAACATTCATTAGTTTAAAAGAAAAACATGGTTTTTTAATCAATTTTTATGTCAACTGGTGCAACTGTTCCTTCAACACGTAGAATTGATTTCATAAGGTTTAGAAGTGGGTGAATTAACAATATTGATTAAATCTTAACAACATGGATACTTGAATTTAGAAATTAATTATATATTTTAATATGATTAGTGGTAGGAATAAAAATCTTGCAGGGCCATGTTGATGCAACTCAACCCTAGCTTCCCAACCCAAGTGTAAAAGTCAAGAACCACACCCACATTCACCGGACTCGCCATGTTTTGAGCCGTCGACGCCACTTCCATCCTCCAAAAAAACATGAAAAGTCAAACAAGAGAGAACAAGGGTTTGGTAGCCATTTTCCTCCTTGCTTTTCTTGCTTCCACCCGAAATTGCACTGATATTTATAGGACAATATTGATGACTCTAATAATATTCAGAAATTAACTAATTCATGGATGGTGCATATATATATGATCAAATTGCACGCTACTTAATTAGTATTTGGGTACGGAAATTTCCATCCATCTTCACGTTCTCCAGGGAGAACACAATGAAAAACTCTGATTGCTTGGATATCAAATTTACCGAAACTGCAAATAATAAACAACAGAGAATTAGAAACTTGTTGGCTAGGGGTATTAAGAAGTCAAAGCCAGATAAACCCTTTAACTGGTCGGTGGAATTTTGTTGCTTTCATTCTGTGCTAACTGGTGCAGCTTTTCCTTCAATTCAAACAAGGATTTTCATAAACTTGAAAAGTTGGTAAATAATCACTAAATTAAGATTGGCTTTGAGGAGGAGTTAACATGTTAAGGGGTCAATTCGTCCCCACCCCCAAGTACAACTAAATTAACTAGGTCAAGAAAATATTTGAGTCATTTTCTTGTTCCTCTCATATCTACACTCATACGTAACGTATGTTATTTCTTTTTTCTCTCGTTGTACTAAATTAGTCTCCCAAACCAATTAAATTCAATGTTTAAGCAGCTTGAATTATTATAATTACAATGAGTTGCATTGATTTCTTGAACTCAAAGGAATTACATTGTCAAGTCTTCAATATTCAAAAACAAAATTCAAGGTCTTCAATGTATAGGGTAAGAGAAGAGTATTTGCTTGTAATAACATAATTTTATGTTCAATTCTTAAAAAGAAAAAGTATTTTACATATTATTTTCTCAAAATTTTTTAGAGAATTTATCTAAAATTTTATTTTTTTAATTAATATTTTTAAAAATTAACCATTAAATTTAAAATTATAGGTTAAACCTCCATTTTGGTTCCTGAACTATTGTATGGATCCCAATTTAGTCCTTGAACTTAAAAAATTCTTTATTTAGTCCTTACTGTTCACCAATTTGGCCCCTAACTTGGTTCTTCTGTTAAAAATCCTGTGAGATGTCCTGTTAATTTATGGCAACATGATGACATGTCAAAATGTTAAATACAAGTGGAAAGATAACATGGCTGACATGAGTAAAAGTAATGATATGGCAAAAAAAAATTGATATGACAAAAAAAAAACTTTAAAAAAAAAAAAACTTTTTTTTCCTTCTCTTTCTCTTTCTCTTTCTTTTTCCCCTTGAGGTCTGTTGGGTTCTTTCAAACCCAGCAAACATTGAGTTCGAACCCAACACGCTTGAGTTTCAGCCGTTGAAACCCAGTGGCCATTGGGTTCAAACGCCTAGGTTCTAGCGGCTGCTGGATTTGAACCCAACAAATTTTTTGTTTTGTGCAAAAAAATAAAAAGATTTTCTATTTTTTGTGGGTTTTGTTATTTGATGATGATGAATAATTGATTAATGAAGAGTGGAATTTCATTTCATTGAATTGATTGTTTGATTCAGAAAAAAGCTAATGAAAGTTGACTCGGAGGAGGTAAAGAGAGAGAAAAAGAAGAATGAATGAAGAAGATATGAGAAAGAGGATGCTAGAGGAAGAAGATGAGGGCAAAATTGTAATTTTGATAGGCTCCACTGCTTTTTTTTTTTTTAGTTTTAGGCAAGAATATAACATGTTAGGTTGCCATGTCATCATTTTCCATTTTTTACATTTGACATGTCTCAAAATTTTGACAAGTCATTAAATTCCTCTTAGTTAACAGTGGATTTTTAATAGAAGGATTAAGTTGGACCTAAATTAGTAAACAGTAGGGATTAAATCAGAGGTTTTTAAGTTTAGGAACCAAATCAAGGGTCCATATAATAGTTCAGGAATCAAAATGAAAGTTTAACCAAAGTTATATTTATATAAATTATAAATGTCAAAATTTTAAATTAATTTATTTTTAAATTAATTTAATAGGTTTAACCAGTTCATTAATTATATAAAATTTAACATCATTGAATACATATAAGTAAAGAATAATTAAAAGATTATAAGTATTAAATCAATAAGAT